CTGGGGCTTGGGCTTCCTCCCAACATGGCGGCCCCCAGGCAGTCATACTGCCTTCGTGACCTGCCGTTCCTGTGTCTTAGCAAACCGGGCAGATGCTGCATGGCCTTTTGTGACCTAGCCTTGGAAACCAGACAGCATCACTTCTGCCATCTTCTTCTGGTCAAAGAACCCACAGGTTTACCCAGATGCAAGGGAGAAGGGCGTGGATCCACCTCTTGATGGGAGGAGGCTCAGGCGGTGTGTGGCTCTTGAAAGGAACAAGCTTAGCTGGTGATAATCGTTCCCACTAGCTGTGTGTCAAGCCTGGGGCCAAGTGGCTGTGTATTTACCCTTCACAGTAACCTTATGCATCAGGCATTCCAGTCCTCATTTTATGGAGGGATTACGTGACTTGCCCAAAGCCACACAGCCAGAAAGAGACACATCCATGATGAGTTCTCAGACCTGTCACCCCCTGTCACCCTTCACCTTAATCTTACTTCTTGCCTGAATGCCACCTCAAGCCTGACCCCTACTCCTGGAGTGTAGACAATTCGGGTTAGAGGCTCAAAGATCAATTAAAGGCATTTTATTGCTTATGAAAGTAATTTAAAAAAGAGTTATTTTTACTATTATTTCTCAGTCGTATCTAAATTCTTGAGTTGAAATACGATATCAAAGTGGCCAAGTCAGAATGTTCCATGGCTTCCCAGCTCTAGATGGATAAAGGGTGGTGCCCTTAAGCGATATCTGGGCCTGGATAGGCTTGGATGCAGAAAGGTGTTCACAGGAGAGACAAGTTCAGCTCCCAGGTGGCTCTGCATGAGTTGTGCCTGCGTGGGGTTGGCTGAGCCTGTCCTGTGGCAGGCAGGGCTTGGCAGACACCCAGGCCTTGGTGGGCAAGGGGTACCACCCAGGAAAGAGGAGGATGTCGTCGAGAAAGGAGCCAATGCTCCTGAGTTTAACAGATGGTTTGTGTCAGCAGGGGCAGCTCTGAGAGACAGGAATGTTCGTTGGTCCAGTCAGCCCAGCCCACCACGATGCACATCCGGGCACCCACGCATTCTACATGGAGATGTAAGATGCTCCATCGCGCATTCCTGCCCCATTCCTGGAGTTCAAGGTGACTTTGGGTAGCACAGCTTTCCCATTCCATTTCTCGAGGGTCCTGGGGTCTCCTGAGACCCCAGCCCAGACCCTCCCTTCCTTGGCATATGTGCGCATCCTCTGGGTCCTCCTACTGTGCACCTGGCTCACAGTAGGTGATCAGTTAGCATTGAAAAAATTGCACTTTGGGTCTACCCATTTCAAACGGAACAACTGGTCTCCCTCGCAAGTATTTCTGTTTCAACTTTCGTCCACACTGTTTTCCTTGGCTTGAATTCTCTCCCACTCTTTAACTGCCCCTTCTCCTTCCCACTCCTAGGAGTGCTTCAAGACTGAGCTCGGATCTCCCTTTCCTCCAGGAGGCCTTCCTAGAGCAAATGTCCCAAGTCGGGGTTAAAAGCTCCTCCCACTTACCCCCTTTATTTACTCATATGGCGGCACCTGTCACTGTGTATTGTGAGGGACTCAGGTGTAGGAGGGTTCAGTGTCACATGCTGCGATGAATTTAATAATTTAAATTTCTTCATTTTCGAGAAGTGGTTTCATTTTGCCCTTGAGTCTCCATTTCCATGAATGGCAGAAAAAGTTCAAATTTTCCAATTACAGGCAATGATTTCTTTAGTAAGCATCCAGCCAATTCAGAATTCAGACTCCTGGCAAGGGTTGTGTCTTCCTTCTCAAGATGTCCCAGCTTCTCTGCCTCACTTCCAAGGCAGCTTCTGGGTGTAGTGACAGGGCGACCGGCTTCCGCTGGGTCTTTGCTCTGTTCTGCTGTCGTTGGCTGGCCTTACCTGTCCCCTGGGCGCCTTGTCCCTTGTCACTGCCCTCTTCTGATCCCAGGCCTCTTTTCTGGTTTTCCAGACTCTTCCCACTTCCTACTGGGACACATGGGGACTTTCAGATTCCTTAGATGCTACGTTTGGACCCAGGGGAATCAGAGGCTACCAGCAAGGGGATGCTCTTTGAGTGGCTTTCAGTCTCCATTGCAGTGAACTGGAGCCAAAATCCCAGATGTGGTTAGACTCCCCCAAAAGCATCTGGACGTTTCTGCCTCCCCTGATTCCTGCAGGGTGTGGAGTGCTTACTGAGGGCTGACCAAAGACTCTCCCACTTCTGAGCACTCAGCACTGAGCAAACTTTCTCTTTCCCTTTCTTGTCTAACGAGGGCTCCCCGCATGCCCCAGTCTCTTTTACTCTACTGAGTTCTTTATTCTAGGTGGGGACCACCTGCGCATACTCGGGGCAGTCTCTCTATGACTTTGACTTAATGGCAGAAGGGATGGAGCGGAATTAATTAGAGAAGAGAACTACATCAAGAGATTGTCAAACACGCACCCCCACAGATATTCCCCGCGTTACACTGGCCTTTCTCTTTCTCACTGTGATTCGCTGAGAACAGGGACTGCGTCTGACTCATCTCTGTAGCCCCAGGGCCTTGAATGGGGCCCAACACACAGGAATGCTTAAGGAATGTTTCTTGAATGGAACCTTGATTTCCCAGATGCTGCCGTGGGCCCCCGGGAGACCCAGCACGAGGCACTCGGTACCGACAATTGGCTTCATGTCCCGCTGGGAGAAAGTGGAGGGGATGTGGTCCTGCGGAAAGGTACTAGGTTGTGAGGACCTCGTATGTATCAGCTCCAGCAGCAGCCCACTTTAATTAGATCGTCTGTAACTTCCTGGAACCCTATGGGTTACGCTCGATAATTGTGCTTTTGTAGATGCAGAAACTGATGTTCAGAGAAGTTAACTTTCTTGCTTGAATATTCTTTGCCAGTAAGTGAAAAAGTGAGGATCTGAACCCAGCAACTCATGGCTCCCAAAGCTCAGGATGTTTCACCAGGCCCCAGTAGAAGTAAGAGGTCTGCATCTTCCTTCAAAAACAGAGGAAGGAAGCCTGGTCTAGGACGGTCTTGGAATCCAACCCTTACTAACCAAGCCACCACTCTAGGAGGGCAGGCCTTAGAACTGCAGGTTAGCGTTTGGGACGCATTGGTGCCAAGTCCCTGTAATATGGGACACGCCATATGGAGCCTAGAATTCATCACAGCCTTTGGCAGGCAGCCTGGCCTGGAAATAACCCCAGAAGGCTACATTTTGATCAGGAAGCCCGCAGCTGTTTTGTTGTTTTTTTTTTTCCAAAATCATCGTTGGAATTTTTAATTTAATTTTATTTTTAGTAAAAGCTTTGTGTCCCTCGTTTCTCAGCCAGCCTTCTAATTTCCTCGGGGTTCTGGACTCTCACAGTGGGTACGTGGCCCGTGTGCAGAGAGGTGCTGGGAAGTTTGGAGAGGTTAGTACCCCTCGTTGGGCCAAGCAAGGAATGGGGCCTCAGGAAAAAAAAAAATCTCAAGTAAAGTTAAGCACATAAACAGCTGTGGCCTCGTCTCAAGGTTGCACTGGGGAAACAGAAGGAGTTCAAAGGCCCTATGAGCCCCCCAAAAAGTGGGCAATGCCTGTCTCCCTAAAGGGAGGCATCTGGAAGGCCAGGCAGACACCCTCGGGATAGACAGGCCGGCCGCTCAGGCCAGTCTGCTGTGGGGCCTGGGTGGGAAGTGCAGGCCTCCTAGACCTTTCAGTTTTCGATTTTCCAAGTGATTCACCAGATCCCCGTCACGCTGGGGCCAAATGCTTAAAAGCAAAGCCACATTTGAATTCTCCAAAGCAAAGCCACGTTTTAGGCCTTGGCTGCGAGGACCTTGGAATCCAGCCACCCTGAGACTTGAGAGAACAGTGATTTCAGTTTTGAGGTTTGAGGAATCCTAGAATTCAGAAGCTGGACCCTTCCCGGGAGAGAAACGGGTTTCAGTCTGATTTAATGCCCCCAATTAAGTTCGCCCTTCATCGCCCCAGCCCAGGCTGATAGAACAGACACATTCTTACTGGTCTGAACCGTGTTGTGCATCATGAAGGCAGCGGGTTTTTGCTTACTGTGGGCAAACTTCAAGATCTCACGAATGCCTGGGTGGAATTGTAGCCTGTGTTCGTGCATGCGTGTGTGTGCGTGTGTGTGTGTCTTTTTTCCCTCCAGGATGGCAATTCTTCTGCGGTTGTGTCTACACAACTGGTTGCGCGAGGGGAGAGGGAGAGAAAAAAGAAGCCACATGTAAAATTCAGGGGTTTGTTATTTTCTTTCGCCTGCACAATACCACATGGATGGCGTGGTTGACTTATTTTTAACCGGCTGTTTGTGTGAAGGAACCAAACCGGTCGGTTGCTTGGGCAGTATTGAGATCAGAAGCGCGCTGATCAAAGGCACCAAAAGCAACCGCTAATTTGATCCAAAAAAAAAAATCACGCCACAATAGTTAGACAAAGACATGTCAGTTTGGGCTGTGTACAAACGTGGCCTGCCTTGGCATTTGGTGGTCAGCACAGAGAACCACTGAAATGAGCTGTACCTCGGACCATCCAAGTGGCTGAGCTCTGACCCTGCAGCCTCCCGGTTTCTCTTGTCAGATCCAGTTCTTGAGAAAGCTTGGGGAAAATGACATGTGTGTGTTCGGGGCCGGTGCGGGTGGGGGAAGTCGGAAAGAGGGACTGGTTGCAAGTACGATCATGACCACTGACTTCAATGATCAGTCAAGTAGGGTGAGCAGGAACCCCGTGACCTGCTAGTTGATTGCACGGTGGCCAGTCTGATCGGTTGTATGATTTCATCCCCCCTCATTTCTTTTGGAGTTAGAAACTGACTGCATCTCTGTCTTCATATCTCTGTTGAGTTATGGGTTGAACATGGGTCAAGTATGTTATGGAATGGATTGTATCATCCCCCCTTCCCCCGAAATGAAAGATACGCTGAAGTCATGACCCCCAGTGTCATGGTGTTTGGAGATGGGGCCTTTGGAGGGTCATTAGGTTTAGAAGGAGGTCATGAGCCCTCTCTTTTTCTCTCTGTCTCTCTGCTGTGGCAGGACGTGGCGAGGAGGTGGCTGTAGGCAAGCCGTAAGCAAAGCCCTCACCGGAGCCTGATCAGGCCGCCACCCTCATCTCAGCCCTCCAGCCTCCAGAACGGTAAGAAATAACTTTCTACTGTTTTAGGCACTCACCTATGGCATTTTGTTACGGGAGATAGCTATCTCTAAGATCCCTTCCAGGATGAAGATGATAAGGCTATTGATCTTGCTTGTGTCTGGCTAAAAGATGTAATTTATCCTTGGATGGAAACCTCTCTATCTGAAGGGCCAAATTATTATTTTGGCCAATGATGTATTACACTTCCCTGTCCATTTCTCGTCTTGGCCCTGTCAGCAAATTCAGCGCTGATGAGTTAATGTATATGAAAGTGCTTTGTAAACGGCAAGGCATTGCCCGAATGAAAGGATTTATTTTTATGCTGCCGAAGTGGAGAGCATTGCAGCTGGGCTAAAGGCAAAGTGCATCTGAGGTGCGGGCAGTGAAGTCATGGGTGTGTGATGCTTGTGAAAACCCTTGATGAGGGTGGTACTCGTGTGCTCCAGTTTCTGCTTAAGTGAAAATGTAAGAGCGAGCAGAACAATATGTTTATAAGCACGTGATCTTGAGAAGGCTGCTCAAAGCCACAGCCAGACTTGAAATGTCTGTGTGATCTTGGATGGGTCACATCTCTCTGTGACTTGACTTCTCCTTCTGAAAAATGGGTATAATATTAATTCTTACTTCCTAGGGTTGATGGGAAGATTGAATGGGGTAAATGCACATAGAGCACAGACTTCTGTGGACCAGTGATGTCTGTGCTTCTCTGGTTTCTGTGTATTTCATGTACAAGGCATGTGCAAATGCCCTGTGCCCGTGCTGTCGCTCCTTCTATATTTGGCAAATTGCTCTGTTCCCTGTGGTTTGGCTTGCATTCCCCAAATCAGCCACCAGAAACAAAAAATAGAAGGTGGCATCTTGGAAGCATAGTGTTGGACAACCCGGGGCTTTGGAAGACCCTTGAGGGATTATCTTTCCCAACCTTCCAGTGCCCACCCCCTCCTACTCGACATCTTGCAATCGTACATTTGAGACAAACACTTAGAGCTTTAAAGTGTGAGTCACCATGGCCTGGGTTGCACATTTCAGCCAATGGCCCCAAAGTGTGGCCTCACTTTGAGGAGGATTAAACCTTCCCCTGTGGTAGGGGAACTGAAAGGATGTGAAGAAACAGTTGCATTTCAGGCCTCTCTAACCTCTGTCTCAGGCTCTGTCCTCGGCACGCGATTGGGGGATTTGCTAGAGAAGGGAAACACTTGAATCCATGATTTTAAAAGCTGCAGAAAATAAACTCTGGGAAAAAAAAATGTGCATTGCCCATAGGAACTTAATGGGCCATTTTGATCTCTGCCTCCTGTCAGGCTGAGGGTGTCACGAGCCCTGCTCTTGCAAAAAAAAATGTCATAATGAAGTGTTCTAGTAATGGAGAGTTAATGGAACTGGGAGCCGGAGCTATAACAAAAGGGCCTTAAAAGAGGGGTGGGGTATAATTTATTAGCAGCAATATATGGAGCAGGGAGCCTGCAACATTTATGAGAAAAGAAAATGGGACCTTTCACAAGATCCAAGGTTTCTGCTCTCCACAGGCTTGGTCGACACGCACTGGGGAGACCCAGGCACCTCCCCATTCCCTGGTAACACGCCAGTCCCTCTTCAGAAGGAAGAGTGTGGCATCTCTGCTCACTGGGTTTCGTGGATCAGGGATGCCTGCTCTGATTCTCCCGTGAATGGAGAAGTTTCTGTCCATGATAAGGATGTTGAGGCCTTTTATCCCCAGAACATGGTTCCAGTGACTTCAAGAGCTTGGGGTATTTCGCTCATAACCTGGTATATTAAGCCAGGGCTCTGTTGCGTGTGAGATATGGAAGCAGAGTTCTCACTGGCCTAAGACTGAAAAACATAACAAAAACAAACAAACAAATTAACGGAGTATGGGTCTTATTTTGGACTTAGTCCCAAATATACAGGCCTTATTTTGAAGCAGATATTGAAAAGAGGCATGAGTACAGATAGTTTATTTGGGAGATGATCCCAGGAGACCGTGGTTACGTGGTGTTAACGTGAGGCAGGGAGGAGAAGAAAGCTCATAAAGGCGATTCATTATCAAGTTCGTTGTAGTGTGAAAGGATGGAGCTTCACACATTTGCTCCAAATTCTGGGTGATACCGTAGAATAGCTTTTCAGGTTATCTCAACTGAGGGGCAAGGGAGCTGGGGACGTTATCCATTCAATCCTGCAGTCATTGGTTGAGGGCTGCTGCTGGAGTTTTGTCTCTCTGGCTTTCCTGGCTTTTCCTGCACGACGCCAAGGCTACTCCTGTGGCCAGGGGCTGGAGGAGGGACCTTCAGGCAGAGAGTCACAGCTGTTTTCTGTAAAGAATTGTCAGCATGTAAAGGTGACTGCCAAGGAGATATGGATGCACCATCCACAGTAGTGGCCAAGGAGGGTAAGAACTAATTGACTTTGTTGATTGAAAAGTTTTAAGTTTGGACCAGCTTCAGGTATAGTTAGATCCAGGGGCTAATGGAGCATTATCAGGACTTGGTCTATAACATTTCATTACTGGGTTTTTCCCCCTCAACATTAGCTCCATTGTTAGGCGGGGCTTCCCATGTGATGGTACGTTGCTGGCCAGTAATTCTAAGCTTTTATCGAATTCAGCAACCGCAGTGAAAAAGAATATGTTTCCCCCCACTTCAGACTATTTCAGTAGAAGTCATGGAATGTATTCTTACTGGCTCAGCTTGGTTAGTTGATTGTAAGATATTTAACAATTACTTGAATCCACCTGGCACCCTGAGTCTTCACCTGCACAGGGCTGTGGCAACACTGTCTTCAACTAGAATCGTTTGGTTGTAAGTGACCCTTACATTCTGCCTCTGTCGAGGAATCCTGTTTATTTCCATGGCACATCTGTGCAAGCATGATTCCTCGTTTCTCTGTGTGCTCTTCCTGAGTAACTCCTCCATCCCCTTGCCTACTTTCTGAGCATCCCTTTCTGAGTCGCTGGCCTTCCACTTGACCTTGTGAAGGTACTACATCAGGACTTTCGTGATAACAAGTGACAGAAAACCCAATTAAAATTGTCTTCACGTGCATATACTACACACATATACTTACATGTGTATCTACATAAGTATGTTAGTATGTGTGTTCATATATATATATATGTTTATGTGTTCGGGTAACTAAGACAGGAGCTAGCTGTGGTTTCTGTCTTGGCTTGTCTCACACAGGCTCGTCCATCATTCCCTTTGCCTTCCTTTGGTTTCCTTGGCTCTCAAACGTCCCATCTCCTCATGGACACCAGCTCCTCTGGTGGCTCCAGTCCCATGTTCTCGCATGTTCATTCAGAGAGAACAGTTTGTTTTGCCAGAAGCCCAAACCAAAGTGCCAGAGTTCCACCTCACCTGCCCTGAAGGAGCTGACCTGAGTCGCACGACCATTCCTGAACCAGCCCCTGGTCTCGGAAGCGCCGGATGGTCTGATTGGCCGGCCTGGAGTCACACCCTCTCCTGATTCAAACAGTGGGCTGACTTTGACCAGAATTATTATCGGCTGAAAACAGGAGAGGGCTGCTGCTGGAAATGGAAAGACGGTTGTCATCCTCACTTCTCCTTTGCAGCCTGAATTGTATCCTCCCTGTTCTGTGCTACACGCGGTCGTCACTGAATCTGACACGCACTCCTATGGCTAGACTCCTTGTCTCTGGCCCGCTGTCCTCTGGTACGTGACCTAACGCGTTACGTCTCAGGCTTTCCCCGTCCCTCCCACCTTGGACGGTCTCTCTAGCCCGTGAGCTCCTTGAGGACACATATGTTCTTATTCTTTTTAATGTCCTTGGCACCTAGCACAGAGGCTGCTGTATTTGCACATGCATGAAATCTTTGAGGGGCTAAAAGAAGAGAGGAATACAGGAAGAAATAAAGGAGTCTGGATTTGAAGCTGCAGATTCCCTCTCAAGCTAGCAGGTTGGACTTGGATGTTGTCCTGGTAACATGCCATCTGGTAATACTGAACTTTCAACTCCTTAGGTCCCCAGGCTGAACTTACCTTCTTATTTCGCAAACCATACCCACCCCCCACTTTGCTCTCTTTGACCTCAGAGCATCCTGCCAGAGGTTCAGCTGGACGGATGTGGACTTTGTATTTCCGAAGCCCATGAACCCCCTGAAATCATGTAACATTTTATGTGTGTGTGTCTGTGATTTGACTTGAGGTGTTGGGTCCACAGATTTCATCACACTGACCTAGGGGTCCAAAAGCCAATCCTGTTAAGAACCAGTTGCTGAGGCCCTGAAATGGAACCCATTTTGGTTTTAGGTAGTCCAGCACTGGAGAAGACACGAGATGAGCATCTCACCTTTTCCGGCAGGTGCCCAAAGGGACAGTCAGATCTCAGTGCCTGATTCTGTTTTCCTATTGACTATTTATCACAGAGCTTGGTCACACTTATCAGAGAAAGGAAATAGTGATTATCGCTCCTCCTACACCCAGCTTCCTCTTATCCTGAACTCCCTTTCAAGTCTGAGTGATCATTCATGACACTTCATTATACCGGCTTCATCATTTCCCGCCATGAGAGCTTTTCCCCAGAAATTGTTCGACTTTGTCTTTTGAGCATTGGAGTAAAGATTGACCCAAGTAAAAATCCCCTTGGCTTCTAAATGACCTTCTGGTTACTGACTCTCTGAGGTCTGGTTTTCTGCTGTAGCCATTAGGAGAGTGTTCAGCTGCAAGTAAAAAGAAACCTAATATGTGGCTCCTTAAACATACCTTTCCTTTACATCACAAGACATAAGAGGGCAGGTGGTGGTTTATGTTGGCGCAACTGCTCGGTGATGCTGGTGTAGGTAAGGCTCTTTTTATCTTTGCTTTATGGGTTGATTTTTTTATTGACATATAATTGCTGTACAATTTTATATGAGTTATAGGTGTACACTATAGCGACTCTCCACTTATAGTTATAAAATTATAAAATACTGGCTGTATTTCTCACATTGTACAGTGTATCCTTGTAGCTTATTTTGTACCTAATAGTTCATACCTCTTACTCCCTT